AATTTCAACTTTCAAGTTCAAATAAATGTACAACAATAAAGTGATCATCTCATCAGATGATTATAAAGATAGTTTGCAATGTTTGATACAGCGTTCATATTAGAAGATACGAATGACACTCGGTTATATTACTAGTATTATTATTGATAAGTTATTAATTTCTGTACTTTCTAATTATGAATATAATATAATAATAGTTGCAATAATAACAGCTTTAATTTATATTAAAATGTGTTTTACTGTTTTTTATGGAAAATCTTTTCCATTATTTCTACATTGTTTAAGTATTCACCTTCTTTGAGCCGATTTATTTGTTGGATTGATACATTTTGAAAAAGGTATCTTAGTGATATTCGTAAATATACTTGATTACAATTTTATACACCTTATATAACTGGTTTTACAATAGCCACAGCTACTAGGATCTAGTGTCATCATTTATAAATTCAGGTCAACATATCCAACAACAATAATAATTTTATTTACTTTGCACTTGAACTTGTGCAAGAGGTGTACAATGTTAGTGCATACATGTACACTCCATAAAAATAGTGAATTTATTCTGTAATCTGCACCAGGGATAGAGGAACTGGGCCTGTCTGGACAAAAGAAACATTTCATCTAGCCACAATGGTGTACTTTTAAAATGTTTATTTCTGTAACCTAAAGCAAAAATTACTATTTTGTTTCACGAATTATAGCCCACTCAAGTCTTCAAATTATCGAATTATAGCCCACTCAAGTTTTCAAATTATCGAATTATCGCCCACTCAAGTTTTCAAATTATCGAATTATAGCCCACTCAAGTTTTCAAATTATCCAATTTGTTATGAGAAACTGACCGAATAAAATGTACTACAAGTGTTATCGAGGTCAAATGCGGCTATTTTCGCCCAATTTTTTTTGAATTAATTCAGTCTAGAGGTTATACCACCTACTCCTGTGAAAACCAAAATTCGGGATGTAAGTCACTATAGCAACGAAAATCGGATATATCGGGCAAGGTAATCACCATGTTACTATAATTGGCGTGTCTGCTATTTTCACCATATTCTGAACATTTTTTGCTCTATACAAGTGGGACTGACACATTCACTTTACTC